TTATTGCTGTATCAACAGTGCCTAGAATGGTGCCTCGTATAAAGTGGGCCCTCAATAAATATATACTGAATGAATAAGTAAATGAGCCTACAGGACGCATGTCCACCTGCCCAGACTGTCTCTTGAGTTCGGCTCCATGGCCTCCTCTGCCTTCCACACAGGATCACGAGGGGGAAGCCCTTCTGAGCCTGGCAAGAGCTGCTGCCTCAGCCCCAAAGGAAGCGATCTCCCTCTCCTTTGTGACTGGAACTCAGGTTACAATCCCAACTCCCTATTTCCTTTTTAATGAAAAGGTAAAAGATCGTTTATGAGAAGAAGCCAAAAAATTAATGGACTAGTGAAACAAACATTGAGACAGCAAATCACACAGAGGGTTTTTTTTAATTATAAAAGAAAAAAAGAGAGAGAGAGAATGGATTCATAAAGCAGTAAATGTTATTGTAAGGGTTCTCAGTTTGTTTTATGGCCCAAAAGACTCTAGGCAGACAACAGCCCCCCAAATGATATCAAGAATTGAAGTGGGATATTGGGGGAGGCATGGATAATCTTAAATATTCAAGATGACCATGAGTAATTTGAAAACTGTCTGCATTGCCCCTTTCTAGTGTGAGCATCTCATGGATGGTGAGAACCCAGGTGACAGTGAAAAAGGAGGAAATAAGGTCCAGCAAGGGGGGATCAGTAGAGATGCGGAAGAGCAAGAAACATTCTCCCAAGTGCCTTCCACAGCCCTCTTCCATGAGATGCTGAGGACTGTGAATGAGGGATTCCTCTGTGATCAGTTACATTAGAGAACTGCGAGGTTAAACAAGGTTAACCAGGTTTCTTGACTTACTAGAACCTATAAAACATTAAACACATTCTGAATCTCCAAAGTGGGGTTTTTATAAACAGCATTTTCTACTTATTTGGGCAAAGAACGCTTATTCTTTCAGAACATCTTCCTAGATTGGTGTTCTGTACAATGCTCTTTAAGAAATCCCAGGGTAGAGAGATCAAATAAAGACAAGAAGGCAAGGGAAAAAACAGAGGCAGTTTGTGGATTAATAAATACTGATAATTAGTTTATTAATCTGAATATATTAAAAATAAGATGATTTTTTGGCCATTTAATCCATTTGGAATAACTTCTCATTATGCTGGGAGTACAACTACAATCATGAAATTATGGAAACATAATTGGTTCATAGGCAATAATAAAACCATTTATTACTCAGAGACAGCAAAGTTAACTTTCAGGCTGAAGTTATTATCATCTTTAATAAATGATAGCCACAGATACAATGTTAGAGTTTCCCCTCAACCTGTAGCCCCAGAAGGAACAGAAAAGCATAATCTATTAAGGATCTTCTAGTAGACCTCAAAAGGAGAGTTTGCTTTAGGGTTGTTTTGTTTGGTTTGTTGAATTTTTTTGGTTGTTTTTTTTTTTTTTAAAGAGGAAGCTCCTATGCTGAAAATGTTTTGTTCTTCCAATTTAGTCTCCTCCAGGCTCATGAATGAACAAAAACTAATTGAATATTTTCACTTGAGTTGAATACTGCCCTCTGCTGCAATGTACATCAAGTTTCTAATATTCCTTCAAGGATAGACAAATACAAAAGCCGGTGTAGAAGGTCTACAAAATGCACATATTAATTATTTGGAATTAGAAGGCTTGGATTTCTGTCCAAATTCTTTTTCTTATTGTTTGAGTAACTTGAATCCAACTGGCAGCCCCAGAGACCCATCAAACTCAACCTGTCTAAAACTGAGTACATTTTTTGTCACAATCCTGCTTTCTGTAAGGCCTATCCACCCAGGGACACACCCCAGGAATGGAGAAATCCTCCTCCTCTCTCACCACTGCCACACAGTCAGACCCTACATCTTTAGGACAGAACTCATCAGTCCCCTCCTCTCCATCTCATTACACTGCTATGGTACACACACTCTTCTGCAGGCCCCTGGCTGGTCCCTCTGCCTTCCCACTGACCCCTCCAATCCATTCTCTCACCAGAGTAAACTTTCTAAAATAATAATCAAATCTAATTTTCTTAAAACAACTCTCAGAGCTACCATGGTAGAGTTCTAGCTCCTTGCCTCATATACAAGCCCTGCCAATCTGCCTACCTCTCAAGGCTATGTTCCAGGTATCACCCCCCACCCCCACATGCACACCTCTATACTTCAGAACTGCAAAATGACCTGCATTTCTCCCACTGCATTATCTGGTTCAGAACTCTGAATTGCATGTATTTCCACAGCCCAGAATCCCTTTCCCTTCATTACATTATAGCTCTAGGGTCACCTCTTCCAGGAAGCTTTCCCTGACCACTCTACTGTCACACTCTTCAGCATGTTCATAGTGCTATTTGCAAATGACTCCTGTGGCACTTATCATACTGTGCCGGGAGAGCTTATTTTTCTGCTCCAACCCAAAGCCCCTTAAAGACAAGGACATGGAATTTAAGTACTTATTAAGACCTCATTTTGTTCTAAATTAGTTTGTAAGTGGATTACAAGGAAGGAAAAATATAGAATATGATTTTTAAAATCAGAATTTTATTTTTGGGTGCACTGCTACAGTGCGCCACTTGGGAAGTGCGGCGGCGCTCCCGCCGAGGGTTCGGATCCCACATACAGACCGGCCGCTCACTGGCTGAGCGAGGCGTAGGAGCAACACCGAGGGTTGCGATCCCGTGGCCGGTCCCGGTCCAGTACGGGCGCGACACTGAGGGTTGCGATCCGTTGCCGGTCACGAAAAAAGACAAAAAGGAAAAAAAACAAAAAAAAAAAAAAAAGAATTTTATTTTTGAAAAGGAAAGGCAAGGGTAGAGGCATAAATAGGAAATGAGGAAATAAAAATCCAGTCAGCGGTGCCCTAAGCATTGGCAGTGGGCAGACCAGAAACTTAGCCCCAAGTTTCTTATCAGCCAACCAGAAGTAAGAAATCTGATCAGTTACAGTTACAGCAGGAAAAGCGAGCCAAGTGTTCAGGAAAAGCAGCATTCCCAACACAAGACCAATAAGAGGTTTCTCCCACAGGTCTTCAAGGAGAAAGCTTGAAGTAAGCCACCAGCTCCCTGGGCAGGCAGGGCAAGCTGGAGCTATCTCAGCACAGCCAGCGGCATCACCCACAGGGAAGGACACTAAAGGCAACTCCACGGGGCCCCAGGCAGGTGCAATTTGTGTAGGAAGCTCAGCTGTTCAAGCTTAACCCAGGAGCATGTGCAGTGTGGAAAGCCACACAGACCTCCAGCAAGTCGCCATAAACATCCTTTCTCCAAGACTACTTTTTAACAAACATGGGAGCAAAGAGTTTAAGATTACACTACATGACAAATACTTGGTGTGCAACTATTCTGTGTTGCCAATTAAAAGCAGAATCAAAGGTATTAACCAGCTGTTAACACTGGTGGCTTAGGAACAAGGACCTTGTCCTATTTTTCCTCCCTAACCCCAACGTCTAGCATAGTGGCTCTCAGCCTCATCAGACCAATGTCTCTTTAAGTTAACTATCCTGCAATTCACTATCCTGCAATTAAGTTAACAGATAATATAACTGTATTCTCCCCAGTATATATATAACCCTATCTTCTCATATAATTTCCAAAAATAAAAATCAATATAATATCCTAACTAAAATATGAAGCAAAAGAAAAGTAACTGATAACAAGATAATACGTATTCCAACATATAAAACCTTTACCCTAACTGCCCTAGAAGATACAATGATGTGGTCAGATTTTTGCAATGATTGGGTCTTGAAAAAAACAAAATCTGAATTTATTCCAGATAAGAAGTACAGGAATATGCAAAAACAAAGGTAAGAATGCTTCCTAGGATAAAAACTTGTGTTTATCACCAGGACTGACAGACCATACTTCTTTGTTTATGGAAAAGGGGAAATAACCTAAACTGAAGTAAAGATTGCATGCCCAGATAAACAGCCAAGTTGGAGAAAATGAGAAATGATGATGTTCCTGCAAATGAGCTGCTGTTATGTATAAGTGTGGCATTGGAATGATTCCATGTGTTATCATGTGGAATAGAGTAGTGATAATGTATTATAAAAAATATATTTCTGTTGTGAACTCCCACCGCAAATAGAATGGTACATTCTGTCTCTGAATCACCACCAGGACTGTGAACAGATGTACAGGACAACTCTTAGCTGCATAGGACTGTTCTATACCCTGAGAAATATCCAGCATCCCTGACCCTGCACCTCTAAATGCCAGTGGTGCTCCCCAACCCTTGTGACAACAAAAACACCTTCATGATTTCCAAAGCATCCTGGCCCAGCAGAGAAGGATCTCCCCAAAGTTTAAATAAGCTAAAGAACAAACAACTAACTGAAGGAATGAATGAATGAACAAATCGCATGCTATGATTTGAGTATCTGTTCCCTAGAATTCATGTGTTGGAAGCCTGATTCCAAATTCACTGGTATTGGGAGGTGTTTGGGTCATGAGGGTGGAGTCCTGAACGGATTAACATTGTTACCACAGGATGGGGTTGTTATAAAGTGAGTTGGCCCCACCCACGTGTTTTCACTCATGCTTGCCTGCTCTTCCCTTTATCTGCCATGTCATGAAACAGCATGAAAGCCTTCACCAGAAGCCAAAGCCAGGGCCTTGGACTTCCCACCCTCCAGAATCGTGAGCCAAATAAACTTCTTTTCTTTATAAATTACCCAATATATGGTATTCTGACCCCAAATTTTGGAAGGAGGAGCACAATCTCTGTGTGTCAAGAGAGTGCTCTGAAGATCAGGAACTGGAGAGGACCTGGCCCAGGCCTGGCAAACAGCAAATGCCAGCTGAATAAAAAGTGGAAACAGTGCACTTTTTTTCATTCTGTCAGAGGACCCAGGAGCTTTGCTGTATCCCACAACCCCTGATCTTGCCTCTGAGCCCCTTGGTTCCTGTTCTGCTTCACCACACACTTCAACAGACTAGTTAACTAAGTAAGTCCTGAGCACCTTCTGGGTTCCCTAAGTAAGGAAGGAGCATGAGTACCTTCTTCAGTGTCTGCAGCACCAGAGGGCATAGTCGATCTTTCCTCTGGCCTGGCTTCTTGCTCCAGAGCCTAAAAAATGAAGGAAAAAATTTATCATTTAAGGCTTCAGATATGTAACAAAGAGATGAAAATCACAATCAAGGTTTCAGAGCTGGGGAGGCTGGGAAATAAAGGGGTGAGTAAAAGGTCCTGTGTAGCCAGCACCCAGGATGACATGAGAGAAATCAGGAGGCAGGAGCCAAAACTGTCCCTGCCACTAACCCTTTACCACTTCCGCAGGTCACAACAACTAGAAGGTTCTCCAGAATGTGATGCATGAACCAGAAAGAGAACAGAGAATCCTGAAACTAGAAAGAGGGGCTGTAGTTTTATGCATCTGCCCGCTGAAGCAGCCCCCATCCACATCTGGAGACACAGGGACCTCGGAGGAGCAGAATGAGGGGAGAAACACACTTGCAGGGAGCATCCAGGATGACCATGGGGCTTGAGCTGCAAGCTGGTACACGCTGGGCAGGCTGTCCCCAGTGGAAACTGAGTTGGTGAGCCTTCCAAAGACCTTAGAGAAAAGCTTTCCTCTTGGGACTATCTGGGTTTTCTTTTCAGATTCCCCACAACCAGTGAAAATGTAGAGAAACACAGAATTATGTGTCAATATGCCAAATGGTAAAACAGCTCAAAACTGCATCAGCATATGTTCCAAAATAAATCGTCAGCACACTTGGGCAGGTAACTACACAACCAATGTAGACAGATCCCTGAATCCCACTGGGCTTGTTATGAAGCCCAGTGAGTCAAGTGCCTCTCTCTTTGATTATTTCAGAACAACGTCCTGAGGCCAGAGCAAAAAGAACATGAAAATATACTCAACTTACCAAACCATAAAGGGGCAGGGACACAAGTGCCTAGTCACCAACCCACACCCCAGCCCTACCTCCAGGCACTGTGTTCTTTCTAGAGCCCACCATGGAATTAGTGGATGGACCAGAACAGGTCTGTGCTGGGAGATACTGAGGCAATGAAAGCATGAGCACTTGGGGTGGAAGGAGACGTCACTACACAGGCTCAAGGCCTGAGCCAACCACCTACTCCACAGTTTACCTGGGGTCAGCCTTACCCTGATCCCTTGTCTTTCAATGAGGGAAGTTGCCAAACCTGTGTGAGAAAAGGACATCAGGCAAAGCTGATTTCTGACTACAAAACAAAACTTGAAATAAGGAAAGATTATTATTATTATTATTATTATTACTATTATTATTATTGGTAAATGGGATTATTAAAACTGAATTTTCATCCTTATGAGTAATTTTGAATGCAACTTTAGAAAACTTCTATTTCCTAATTGCCTTATTAATTGTAGCCAAGTTCTACAACTAAATTATCAGCATTCTGATTAATAGAAAAAACTTTTTTATGAGGAGATCATTTAAAAATGATTAAAAGATACACCTAAGATATTGCCTATTATCTAATTTTCTAATATCTGTCTTTACAGTTTGGATATTTACCACCAACCTGTCACTTTAGCATTTAATATTTATTACAAATTATCATGCCTCCACTGTCACATGAAAAGATGAAACTTTTACAACTCTGAACAAGTATGGCTTCTGAACAGGATCACCTGAACAGCTCTTGTATATGTAAAGCAAACTCAGGTTTCTGCAGCAAGGTTTTATTGCTGTTTTTCTAGAGGATTGCCGATAACGGAGCAATGCCCAAACCCTGAGTATAAACGTGTCCCCCTGTGCAGTAGAAAACATGGCCTATGGTTCAGTGAGAACAGATCAGTCTCCCAGATCAGTCTCTACAGCTGTCACATAAAAAATACACATTTAGACATGTAAGAGTCAATAAAGCATGAATACTTTCTGTACATAACGTATACATAATTTCATTATGTTTGTTATTAAAAGTTGTGAAGCTTGAGTGTGGACAACCCATATAATAATTAACACCTGCTTACATCTTACAAAGTAAGACGTACCACAAAAAAATTTAAATTCAAGAACGCTATAGGATCATTTTGTCAGGCAAGTAAGAATGAATGACTTTGGATATCATAAAGAATCTCAGCCCTTCCCTTCCCAGTCTCCCTGTTCACTACCCAGCCACACACCTTGGAGTAGAAAGGAAAAAGAGGAATGCTGAAACTTGGAACATTAAGGTCATTCCATTTTAAATGATTCTTTTATCATATGTTTTCATAAAATGGGAATCTCAGAGAAACTGGAGAGCCAACTCCATTTGGCCTTTGTTATTATAAAGTCCACTATCATAAACCATTGAGGCATCTAGATTTATGCACCATAAATCTTCTCCAAGGTCCTAAGCATTATTTCAAATGTGTATGAGAAGTCACAAATCCAACCTAAGAAGTAGGAGGGTTTTATAAGAGAGCAAATATTCAATTATTTTTGATATGCATAGAGCTTATTCTATCCTTTTCAGGAAGCTAGCCTCCAAGTCCATGCTGCTGTCTGAGCACTCCTGAGGATATGCATGTTGCTGAGCTCTGTCCCTGTGGAGCTGCTGGAAGTGGGGCTCATGCTGAGAACTGCTGTGCACAAAGTAAGTGTTTGCCCGGCCAGAATAACCACCACTTGGTGCTTTGGTGAGAAGCCACAGTGGTGGCTGTAGGTTTTAATATCGTTGAATGACAAGTATCCTTGAGCAAAACCCTCATTTTGCATATACAGTATGTAATCCAATAATGATCTTTGCTTGATATATAATGCTTTGGCTAAATCTTTAGTTTAATTATATAAAGCAAACATTTTACAGAAGTCAAAACCATGACTAACGACAATATCAATGTTCTTAGCTGACTTTTTACTCTGTAAAGCCTACACCTTTGTGAAACCTATGCCTTGTTAACAGGTGCGCTTGAGAACACAGGAGGCTGCAGGATCACTGGTGAGTCTCTTAGAAGCTATGTACTGTCAAACAGATTGACTCAGCCCTCTTACTCAAAATAACACTTTTTCCAGTAATAATTAAAACATGTAAACATCCTTTATATTCTTTCAGAGTCTATAAACAAAATAATAATAATGATGAAGGTGAAACATTTTAAGCCCTGAGATGGGCATGCTATGATAGCACTCAAAGCTGGTGTTTGGGCTATGATAGGGCAGGAAAAACCTCTTTGAAAAAGAACTAGGTTCTTACCTGTCCCCATTCAAGAAAAGTGTGTGCACTGGGACAAATGCTTAACTACATATAAGCCATAAGAAAGCCCGGGAATAGATATTACAAATGTAAAAGAGCCCTAAATGCAACTGCTTTAGATAAGAATAATTTATAATAAATACCTTAAGAGAAAATATCTAATATTAGAATATTAATACCCAACCATGAGTAGGTCTGGCTCAGAAAAGTAAAGGAAACAAGATCATACAAACTACTATTTTTCTGCTACCAAAATTAATAATCTCCATTCTACTGATCTAACACAGTTTCCAGTTCCATGTCCCCCGAGGTTTCATTTTGCTACCAGCAAAAACACTTGTTCCCAAAACAGTGAATTGATGCCTACACACTCTCTAGAAGTGTACATTATTGTATACCAGAATAACTGGGCACAAACCTTGACAAGGAAGGCTCTATCCCAAAAGTATTTCCGGAAGAGTTTAATATCTGCCTCCAACAAATGCTCGGCCGTGTGGTGAAGGGTCAAGGTCAGCGTTTCTGATGAGTGCAGGTACTGCAGGACGGCATCTTCATTGAGCTGCACTCGGGAGAAGCTGGGAGAACGTCTGCCCTGAAAACTGAAACATCACAAATCAAAACCCACACGCAGCTCCAGAGACACCAACTCCAAGATCCCAGGACCCTCATTGCCTTGGTATTACAAATTCAACTGGCAAAATAATCCTTGAAAGTCATCTACATATAATAAATGTATAGGATTGTGTAAGCAAATACTAATAAAGCCATCTTCCTATTTCCACCTAGAGAAGATGTTTATTGAGAAGCCATTGACATACTATATATTTTAAAGGTTTTTATAAATAATGAAACATACTGGCTTTTGAAAATAGTATTTTACCTCAATACTTCATCTTCCTTGTAATCTGAAAAGATGCTTCTCACTTTAACAGAGTCACTTGTAGGAGAACAAATTAGCTGGCAGCCAATAATTTATTAGGTGATTACAGTTGAAAACAGATATGATCTCCAGGGAGCATGGTGAGGTTTGGATGTTACAAACAAGTCAGATATTCATAACTGCTACCACTGTTGCAAATCACTTTCTCATGCAAATTATAACATGCATAAATTTGATCCTGTTGTATTTTTGAATACACTCATCAACAAAGGAACAATATTCCCAAACTAAATTCTTGAATATGAGCTTATTTTCTGTTCTGTCTTGGCTAAGAACAATTGCACATTAATTAGCTATATGTAGGCTTCATGGTTAATATCACAATATTCTGGATGGCTTACAAGGTCATGAAACAGCAACAGTAAAGAAGCCTCTGGAGGAAAATGTTAATGTTCCCAGATTACAGCCCACCTTAGATGTTGTCACATCCTGATAGATTGTTCCCAGATTCCTTCTCTTCACAGAACTAGCTCTATGCCTCTTTCTTCTTCTAATGTGACTTCATTTTGTTAATAAATGTTTGCTTTACAAAAATATATTATACTTCCAATGAGATAAATGTTATCTCCATCATATGGAGTGACAAAAAGACATCCATAAAGAGCAGTTGTACTCCAGAATCTTCTAAAAGAAAACTCCCCATGACAACAGAACGAACTCTGAGCCTGAGCAATAAGATCATTGTTGTTAACTTAGAATATGGAGGCTCTATCATATGATCAGAATTTAGCTCACAGTCTACTTCTAATCCCCTCTAAGAATGGGCTTATCAGACATGTAAACTTTTAAAACACACAATATCTTCTGTCCTTGGACACAGTAAAAAAAAAATACAAAGCTACCAACAGATGAAGAAGTCAGTCCCCAGGAACTGTCACAATGACTAAGTCAAAGGCAGCCTTGCCTTGCCCTTTTCGGCCAAGAAAGTGGGGTCATGTTAAACCAAAGAAAAGGACAATTCCATTTCGATAGGCTCATCCCTTGGTTGATGGTTGTTTAACCAAATGAGAAAACAGACTGAAATCTCTGATATCTAGTCTAACGTCCACTTATGTACAATATAACCATAAATTCATTATGTTGACTTCCATGAGCCAAACAAGGAAAACCACTCCATTAAGACAAACCATATAATAATACTCTAACAATATTTAGTATTTATGTACCGCTTTGTAATTTTCAATGCACTTTCCCATTCATATTTTGGTTTTTACCACATGTTAAATGAAGAAAATCACTATACATGAATCCTCCTTTCATTAGTTAAGAACAATGACTGATCTGAACCATTCTAAGTAACAAATATACTCATTATTCACTGGAAGGGTTGATACCATCATAAACATAGAGAATTTTATAGTTAACAAATTATTTCCTTTGCAATATTTCACTAGACCCTAACGACCATCCTATTGCTTAAATAGTACCATAGAGTTTGTCTGTAATTCACTGATTCAACAAAAATTTATATATTTTTAACAGAACACTGTACTAGAAACACTGCAGTGGGTGAAACAAAAATAGTCCCAGCCTTCAAATAGTTTAGGAGAGAGACATATGAAACAAATGATTACTTATTATATAAAATTACAAGTTATGATTAATATTGTGAATTAGTCACAATCATAATTAATATTATGAATTAATCATAATCATAAAAGAGCATAACATAAAAGTCCTCTCTGAGGGAGTGACACTTAAACTGAAACCTGAAAGATAAGTAGGGGTTAGGCTAGTGTTTTCCCAACTTCTTTTCTATTACTGCCCCCTATACGGTGCCTTCAAAACATTTTTTTTCCTCTCTTCCCCATTAAATGTTAATACCAAAAATACAAGAATATTTCAAAAAGTCCATGGAAAAATGGGATTAAAGGATAACACGAATCTTTTCATGAGCTTTTTGAAGACCCCTCTTGCATTTGTATATCTGCTTCTGCACTATATGTATACCTGTGCTAGACACATGAGAACCAACTGTAAAATATAAACCAACATTAGCTTATGGTTTGATTATTTCCATTTCTCCATGCTACTTGGCAGACTTTATCGAAACAGCTGAGAAAAGAAATGATCAAGTAGCTGAACTCACTTTGTGATGTCTCCCACCAGCTTGGAGTGTCCGCCATGTAAAGCTAAATCTAATGGCGTGGAACCCTCTTCATTGGGTAAAGCCAAGGCCTGGGCTCCCCCAGGGAGACACAAGAGGAACTGGGCGAGCTTAGCAAGACCCCATCTCACAGCCAGGTGTAGAAGAGACTCTCTGTGTGGAGATACTAAAGAGAAAAAAAAAAAATATTAGCTCCTCCATTTACAAAGTTTGTTTTATACATTTTATCGAAGAGACCATGTATTTAGACATAATAAGAATGTCAGAACTGGAAGAACCACAGAAAGCATATAATCCTAACACCTTATTTTACAAGTGCAGAGAGGTCAAGTGATTTCACCAAGGACAGGTAGTCAGGAGGTGCTGGAGCCAGGTCTGCTCATCACTGACACAATGTTCTGTCCACCCACTATGCTACACAATCACATCACCTTTCCCTAAATGAGCAGTAAAGTCACCTAGGGAAAACTAGTTCTAAAAAAAACCCTATCCTTTGGAAACAGACACTTGTCAGTTTCCCAGGTGCTCTTTAAGGAGACTCTGCTACTCAGACAGGGCAAGCTCTCAGAGGACAGGACTGCAAAGGACCCTCTGTTTCCAACCTTTGTCCTCAGAGCTGCTCCTCCTTGCTGAGAAACTGCAACAGAAACGAGCTTGATATGTCTAGAAAACTGAAACCACAGTCCTTCTCAAACTTCACAGCAGTGCTTTAGCTCATCTGTGAGATCCCTGAGAGTATTCCAATATTGTCAAAGCCACCCCAATGCTTTGCTTTAAAAGCTAGTCCTGTGCCTTTTCATAGGCCCCTGGACGGAGGGCTCTTGGTTGGTGCAGTGTGTGTATCTTCGTGTGTGGTGTTTGTCAGTCCACATTATGATTGTTTCCTGACTGTATCATCTTACAGTCTGAAGGGCCCTTGAAGTTTTTCATTCCTAACATCTGGAGAATTAAAGTCATTCAGTATTTATGAAGTTGAACAGCAACTGGCCATTAAAAATCTCAATTATTTATGTTATGTTTAAATTGTCTAATTTGTATAGAGTTTGTACACCTGTATTCCTACTGCAATGTCCCAGTGCCTGAAACACAGCTGGCCCATGATAAACATTACACTGTACATATAAAAGAATAACTTTGCCCACATTAAAAAAGCTAGGTCCATGAACTCCGTAGGCATCAAGATACTCCTTAAAACAAGCCCAATTTTAACAATCTTAACACGAAAATCCTAGCACTCAAGATCTGCTGCAATGAGCATGAAGTAAGAATTTGAAAACATGATCTCCAGGTAAGTAGTGTTATTGACTGAGTTTGTAATCCAAAACAGATCCAGATATATTATACTGCATCATGCTGGAGTGAAAGGCCCAAGAGGGAAGGGACCTTATCTTTTATCCTGTGGTATCCCCACCCCTGGCACAGTGCCTGGCACATGGTACGTGCTCTATGACTATTTGCTCATTGAATGAATGAATAAATAACCAATAATTCCTTCCCTGGTGAGTACCTATGAAAGTTAGCTTTTAATATATGGCCGTAGCTATATATGGAGCATCTACCATTATTTGTTCCATCTCCAACACCTCTTGGCTAAAATCTGAGAACAGAAACTTTATATCTCATACATAACTTGGATACTAAGGACAAAACTTCCCCACATAGCTTACTGTTCACATTAACATGATTTTACTATTTCATTGTCTTCATCAGCATAAATTTACTGTTGTTCATTATAGGAACTTCTCTTCAGTAGGAACCATCAACAGACAGTTTAAGCCCTAAAACTAGTCCTAAACTATATCATCATCCTTAATCAAACTCTCCTTCCTGCCTGCTATCTCCCCACCATCACCTCCTCATTAAAAGACCCTCAATAAACCAAATTTCAAATTCTCAATAAATTCCAACCTTGCCGTTCCTCCTTCAAGACACCACTAAGGGTCTGTGGGGGTGGTGTTCTCCCTCACCACAGCAGGCAGTAAACTCACCTGTCATACCAGCTGGCTGTGCTGATGATATTGGGAGAGCTAGCATCCAACAAAGCTCTAATATGAAACAACTGGAAGGAAATACTCCATTGCACATGAATGCAAAACTGCTTAGTTTACATTTTTAATTGGTTTGTACTATTTCTAAATCTAGATCAAATGAACATAAGGCTTTCTATTTCAAGTATGTAAATGAGCACTTATCACATTGAAATGCCACCAACTTCTCTGTATATTTGCTCCATTATTCGTTTTTGTGATACAGCACAGAACCCCCAGCAAAATAACATCCAAAATGCCAAAACATCTAAAAACAGACAAGGCAGTATATTCCTACCAGACATTTGTTTAATATACTAGATATCTTTATCTTTACAAAAATCAAAACAGCTGTGTTATTTAAAAAATTATCCTTAGCTATTTCATTATTTATCTTTAAATTTTTAACCATTATACACATTTGATTACAAAGTCATATTTTTTTTAAGTAGTATTTTTATTCTTAACAGATTCCCAGCAGGGCATGTTTGGTAACACTTGTATGTTTCTTCCCTTTTATATAATAACCAGGAAGAGATGTGTTAGGTTAAGGTAACAAAACACACACACAGAGACACATGCACACACATGCACAAGTATACTCCCCAACATAAGGTAGCCCGTCAGCATGAGGATGGAATTTCTATATTATAGATCCCAATCTGAATCTGATGAGAAATGTCCCATGGTTGTACAGGTTGTCATGTACTTCCGAGAAAAATATGATTGAAAGGGAACATCTAAGCCCTTCGTGTTCTCTTTTAAAATAATACCATTGGTGAAGGCGAGCATAGTATCAACCGTATAAATGGTACTCCCCACAGCACAGGATATAATGCCCTACATACTGTTAAACCAGGGGGGCAGTTCCCTGAATTCAACCTGACCAACTGCGTGAGTGGAGCGAGATGCTGCTACTTCCACCAGGACAGCTTTGGAGCCTGTTCCACTAGTCCCAGCTCCCTGTTCTTTCCTTTCTGGCTCTATCCTAACCTCCTGTTCAGCAGGAGAGAACAGTAAATATGTGGGACTGAACGGCTCACTGTTGCCTCTGTCTCTCTCTCTTTCTGAGAATCTACCCACTTCCCAGGGAGGAGGGAAGGCAAGGAAAGACAGGATCTTCTGAAGTTTAAAGAAAACAAGTTAAAAACTGACCAAAATGTTGTGACAGAGAGCTTTCTCATTCAGTATGAAAGTTCAGAGCACAGAATAAGGCAAACAGATTGAAAGAGGAAGCTTCGTGACATATATAAATAATTCTGCTTGTTATAGTTTCAGATTTCTTACCAGCAGCCAGGAAAACAAACTGTGGAAAGGAGGTGGGAGTGTTTAATTAAAACAATCTTTTTTTAACCAAATAATTATGTCTCTTCCTGTTTGGTTGGTGCCAGGAGTTATTTGAACTAATGTAACTGAGGCAAAATTACTAATAATTACTCTAATGGCAAACATTAAAAGGTATGATTTGTAACATCCTGGGAGCACAATCACGCAGACACAGAAAGGAACTGAACTGGCTGTGTCACTCAATGAACCATTCCCATCATGACAAAACAGGAGGCTCATCTGCCCCAGATAGGACAGGAAGCTCAGAGTCCAAGCTTCTCACCCCACCCAGCAACCGTTTTTTACCTATCAGATGAGGTTGTCACAATAAAGGTCCAAGGTTCCTAAGAGTATTTAACCTTGTCCTGACTTCGTCATAAGCAAGAATCTGAAAAAGAGCATAGACCAAGAGAATTTCCAGAGCCTCCGAGGCATGAGGGCAGGGATGGCCAGACAGTTTGGTTGTTACTAAAGGAAACTGGTCTTGTTTACTGGTCAGTCTGAATCCAGAATCATTATCACACCTATACAAGGTCTGATTATACCTTTCCATTAGCAGAAATTCAGCTTGGAAGACTGAAAAAATAAATTAAATTTTCAATGTTGGTTCGTCCATTATAGCAAATGCACACTCTGTGGGGTTGTTGATAATAGGGCAGTCTTTGCATGTGTGGGGGCAGAGGGTATATGGGAAATCTCTGTATCTTCTACTCAGTTTCAACGTTAACCTAAGACTGCTCTGAAAATAAAGTCTATTAAAAATAATAATAATATAATTTACTAATTAATTAGCCAGGCCCTCCGGAACTCAAAATCACTGCTAGAGGAAATGTAAACTGTACAGCCACTTTGAAGCACCCAGCAGTATTATTTAATAAATTTGAAGAAACTAATGCCTGATAGCAAATACATTGTATTGCAATTCCATTCTTATATGCAAACCCTAGCAAGGAGTATGCTTTGTGTGCACCAGGAAACATGCACAAAAATGTGAAATGGTCAAAATTACAAGTAATCTTAATGCCCATGAACAATAGAATAAATTGCAGTATAATCATACAATAGTAATCTAACAACAATACAAATAAATTACAGACTAACACAGAAGAAAATAACAAATATAACATCAAGGCAAGAAAAATCAAGTCACAAAAGAATACACAGGGCATGTTTCAATTAATAGGAAGTTCAAAAAAAGTGAAAGGTAAATTTATTATTTACTGTATTAGGGATAGATACATAGGTAGTAAAACTATAAAGAAAAGCAAGGAAATGGTTACTATAAAAGTCAGTATAATACCTCAAAGGGGAAAGAGGAGAAGGTGACTGGGAAAGAATGATGGGCCAAGGTACTTCTGGGATCCACTGTTAAGTATGTGTACATCTTTCTGTCTCACCCTCTCTCTCATACACGTACACACACAAACTCACACACAGGAAAATTTTTTTAAAAAACAGACTGATATTCAAGGCCCTCCACAGACAGTGAAATCAGAATTTCTGGGGTGGGGCACAAGCATTAACCTTTTCCAAAGATTCTCAAGTGACTCTAATGCAAAGCCAGGGTTGGGATCTGCTACTTACATAAGTGGTTAGCAAAATACATTATCTATGTCTTCTTTTTATAACACCTCTTCCCAATCAGCTCTTAAGCCCCCAAAAAATTTCACCAAAGAACAGCAACAAAAGTTTTCTGTGACTTTTTCATGTTATTTTTAATCCACATTATGTACTGCTAAGCCAGGAAATTGCTTTAAACATTTAGGAAAATATTAAAGCTAAAATGTGATGGGTACAATAATCTAGAAGTAAA